GACAATCATAGAATAAGACCTCGTATAGAATTATTGGAATAAAATAGTATAGAAATGTATTATGAAGCTCAAAAATTATATAATTTTTGAGATATATTAATAAAATTTTAAGCGTTCGGCTACACGTTGTAATAACTTGAATTAATATCATTACGTTTACAGATTCTAACACGAATCTTATGGGAACGTTATCAATATGGAATTCCAAATTCAGGGGAAAAAGAAACTAGTTGATAAATCAAGATGAATTTTTACTGTGGTGGGGCCAGGCATCAGCTTCTGTAGTTCAGTGTGTACGAATGGGCAGGTTCGTGGGAAACTACTACATCTTCGCAGAAGACCAGCGTGAAGTGAAAGTATAATACTGTCGCGTTTCGTCTGGTATCAGTGAGGCCAGTGCCTGCGCATCTGTAAGCCCACAGGTGTTATATATGTCCATGGGCGGCGGTAATCATTTAACATCAGGCGAAGCACCTGCCCGCTTGACATTTTCACATTAAAACAAATTGTCAATTGCGAATTTGAAATGCCGCTTTATTATGTGAAGGAAAGCATCACTAAAAATGTTTAGAAAATATGTGAAGGCTCGTACCCCATTGAGATAGCGTAGTGGACTAAGTTGCAATACCTTCTGTAGAGTTCGATCGCCAGCAATGCAACAAATGTAGATTATGACCTTACCTTAGACGTTTCTTCTCTGTCATATGAATTACTAGAAATAAATCTAGTCAAAAGATGACGGCTGTCTTCATATATCACAGATTTTTTAAGACAAAATAGAAGAGGTTCAATGCAGCATATAGGTACAAGCCAGTAGATTGTAACTGATCCGAGCCTCTTACACTGGTAAGAGGCTCGGATGGATGGTAAGTCTAGCAATATTAAAGTCGTCGATCCGAGTGGGGGTGGCGTGCACTTATAAGTTTTCCACTTAGAAAGTTTTATAGGATTTCTTCTATATAAAAATAACTGTATCGTTTCTACTTCAAGGTTTTTTTGGTGTTGACCGGAAAATCTGCAAACGATACATCTCTGGGAGGAAGGTAAATTATGGTGAAGCTCCTGAGTGCAGTGAACAGTTAGTGAGCACCAAAGGTCCCTTGGTGACCACACCGTAGGTGTTAGGAGGGCCGTTGGAATCTACAGCAGGACGTATTGGTACGTAGCTTTACTGCACTGAGCCTGAGCTCAACCATAATGGAGGTAGTGGTTCCCTTAGCGTCGACATTTTGTTGCGAGAACACGGAACTCGTCCAAGTTGTCCTTAGGTACACCCCTGTGGGCAATCAAATACCATGATCATTCGATTATCCGAAAGTATGTTTTAGTAACTTTCAAGCTTCTTATATAATGCTGTCGTATTTATTCACGGTTACAGGGCTACCGCTCGGAGAACGGCAAAGTTAAATTATAAGAAAAGACTCGGTTAAGCGCAGATAGTATTAGCTGTTGTACTCCTGTGACTGTGACTAACCAGTAACTTCTAAGTGAAACCAATGGCTTAGCGCTCATCAGTGTGTAATGTTTGAAAACGTAGCTCTAATTGCTAATAATAAAACGAATATGAACAATTGTATTCGTTAGATGTAAACCGTATATCTTAATATACTGTCGCTAGTTGCAACCACTTTAGCAACTTCTGTATTATAAGAATAGTGCCAAATACGTTATATATTCAAGAATAGAACTACTTTGAATGTGCTTCTCGAACGTTCGTGGATCCGAGAACGGAACAAAAGTTGGGAAAAGTGCGCCGACTGGAATGAAACTTCAAATCTGGTGGGAGGCTTTAAGTTGGTGACGCTCCTGCTTACTCGTATGTTCCTATTCGTATTTTTATACCAAAACTTTTCCATGTGGTTTCAAAAGATTATGATCTTGGATTTATGGTGGTTTAAATTAATTAAAGGATATAGTTTAAATTAAACTGTACTATACCTATTAAACTGTAATATTTAATTTTAAATACGTCTTACATTTTGTATATTTTAAAGGTTTCATTATATTGTCATTATTAATTGAGGCGTCTTTTTTAAATGTATGTAAAATAAATATACAGACATTTAAATATAAATTAATAGCACATGCGCTTTATACACCGTTCACGACTATTTTTTATCAGGAAAGCTGTCAAGTGAGCAGGCGGATCAACTCATGTTAAGTGAGTCACCGTCACCCATGGACATTTACAGCGCCTAAGGGCTTGAAGATGCGTTGAAAACCTATAAAATGAAGCCCCGGTTCCCTCACTCACCAAATGAAACGGGAAAGTATTGTACTTCGACTTCACGACGATCTTCCGTGAGGCCGTGGTACTTCCCCAGACGAGCCTGCTAAATCGTGCAACAGCCGATGCTGTTGTGTGACTCTACAAATGTTTCTTGTTCATGTTAATTTATGTATTGAAAAGTTTGAGACTATCATTATGCATAATTTTTTTTATTCATGACATCATTTCTTCACCATAAGCTGTAGGCACAACGGCCGTACTTAATGCCTTGCGGCATTCCCTACCAGTAGTCTCTTATATTGGTGAAAAGTAGATGGCAGGTGACAAAATTTCTAAGGATTTTTATCTCTGATTACCAACTGCCATGATATGAGTTATAAATTGGAGTAAGTAATCGAATTCTTTGCGACTTTTGTTGTCAAGTTCTCCAAACAATCACACTAGTGTAGGCATATCGCCTGCTGAAGTTAAATTTTGGCAAAGATAGCGATTTGGTGCTACTAAATGTCACGATCATTTATATATTGATCATTCTGTGTTATCCTTTTTAACTAAGTATGTTAATATCTTTGTATAACTTACTTGTCATATATTGTTCTTACTATTCATTTTTATTACAATCCGGTATGAACCGCGTGTTTGTTTAAGAAAAACCTAATATCGAAAAGTGAAGGACGTTCTGTTTCCGTGCTTATTTTAAATATATTTAAAAATGCTTGATATAATTATGAGTTGAAAGCACGAAACTTTGACAATCAAAAGATTGCACAAGAGTCGGTAGAAACGAGTTCCCGTATCAAGAAAATGGCACACCAACTTACATTTAGTAAGTTGGTGTGATCCTTGATGAAAATACGTGTTTTATGGTTATAAACGTGTTATAAATAAAGTAAAACAATTCGATTAAAATCGTAACAATACTTTCAACGTCAAAACAATAAAACGTGAGCAGAAGTAAGTAAAATGCATTCTTACTTATACTTTGATAAAATCGTAATATAAAACTTGAATGAAAATATTAAGTATTTCCATCGATATTAATATATGTTAGTATTATCAATACCTAATGTTAACAATCGACTTGCAGTTCGATAGGGATAAGTTGAAAGTAGTTGAATCCATTGCGCAGATTGTATTGCTATAGAATAAAACCGAATTGCGCGTTCACTGACCCAACAGTAGTCTAAAGTGGATGCTTATTAAGATCGACGATTTCAAAGGAAATTCACTTTGTTGTTCACTGACCTTTTAAGCTAATGCAATTTACGATTCCTTGTGTATTGCAGTGGAGGACGTATGGGTGGAATGCTTAAATTGAATCGTTGTGTACGCAAAGATAAGCCAAACAAATTATACTGATGTATAAATAAATTTTATAATAGTGGAGTTCAGGTAGTTTCCTATCGACCAACAATATCTAGTAATGCTTTTTTCTATATTACTGATGGTGTAAATAACTGATTCTAATTACTTTATTAGTTTAAGTCAAAAATAATTTAGACTATCGCACCTGAGTTATGTTTGATAATAACAAAAGTGAATAGACAAACTGATGGATCGAAGTATCCAGTTAAATTGCTTTCTTTAATCAAACAGGTAACTAATGGCAGAAGTACAAAAATTTCCCTTTGCCATTAAAAGTGTCACGGACGAAGAAGATGCCTTAATAAAGAAATATTACAAAGGTAAAGTCATTGTTTAATGGTCGTTTTTAGCGCAGATGCTAAGTTAGATCCATCTAACTCAAATAATACTTATTGGGTGAAAATTTATCATAAGCACAAATGGGAACCAATTAATTTGTCTAGACCATTTCAAATTTTCCTCCTGCAGTTACTTTTACTCCGTGGAGAGATGTATTATAAAGACTATATTATAATAAATAAATTGCCGCTGAGGCTGATCATAAGTTTTTTCACGCAACTTCATAGATGCAATATGGTTTTAAAATTGTACATACTGTATCGATTTGCGATGTCTTGCTTTTTGTATTCAGGCTACATTCGTCCTTTTGTACGGATCGGACCTCATGGTTATCTCTGGCCTGCTGGCTACGGTGACCACGCAGCTGACATTTATAATTTAGAGGTTCGCCCCGACGACATTTGGGTAACCAGTTTTTCGAGATCAGGTACATTTAAATATTTTCCTTGATTAAACTCGGTTTATTGATTTTGTTTACACATTCAGTAACGTTAGGGTTTGTTTTGGTCTGTGCAAAAATAAACAAAGTTTGGCTTGTTGTTTAGCTATTTACATATTGTTATTAACACATAAATAGTATAACAGTTTAAAATATATTTTGCAGTTTTATTAATGACGAGATGTTACTAATAAGACCTTATCGTTATATGTATAATATTATACACAGGTACAACGTGGCTACAAGAACTTGTATGGCTGGTTCAAAATGATTTGGATATTGATACGGCATCGAAGATTTCACTGTCAAGGCGTTATGCTTTTATAGAGTAAGTTTGTAGAGAAAGATGACAAATGTATTAAAATGCATGTATGGAAATTAACTCCGTAGTTTATCTTATACAGATATCCAACATTAGCCTCTGAGGTGAAAAAGGAAACGAAAATCTCCTATAACCCGAACCATAAAGCAACTGAAGAAGATTATAGAACATTACCGAGTCTCCCTTCACCACGGTACATAAAATCACATGCACCGCTTTCTCTTTTGCCGCCGAAATTATTGGAGGTCGCAAAAGTATTTTACATTGCCAGGGATCCAAGAGATGTTGCCGTATCGTATCACTTCATGCACAAGCTCTTTAGATATTTTGACGACGGTGTTGACTTCAAGGATTACTGGGAGCTACTCAAAAAGGACTTGAGTGAGATACATTTTACATAAAGTCCAAAACTGATTTGATTTGGTACTACTTTATATTTTAAACTACCGTTACCATTATCCTTATTTCGTTTGAAATAAAAACGTTCATTGTTGATAAGCTTTTTATAGTAATAAATTTTCATTTACCTTGCGTTTTAATCTATAATTTTTCGCTTTCACTTCGAGAAAAGAATACCATTTTTTTTATTTGTTTTTTCATTTTCTATTTTTATAAAAAAACAAAATATACAATATTGTATCAGTAGCACAATTCGTTTTAAGAAATTATTTGTAATTGTTTGCAGTTTTTCACACACCTCTCGAAGAACAAGTAAGGGAGGCTTTGGAGCAACGTAATCATCCAAATATGATGTTTTTACTGTACGAAGAAATGCAAAAGGTAAATATTGATGACGTTTTACCGAAAAGTTGTGCGAGATATGCAAGAATTTGATGAAATGAAATGGATAAAAATATTATAATTTAAAATGTAAGGTGTAATCTTTTACGAAAGAAAAAACAAAAATATTCAACAGAACAAAAAACGATGCTCTAGTAATTTAAATTATGGACGAACATTACAACACATTGCCCTTGAACTTTCCTGTTTATGCAGATTTGAAGGTCAGATGATAATGAATATGAATATTTTTATTTAGTTTCAACAACAAACACAGTTATGGTAACAATTAAAAGAATGTATATCTAAGACATGAAACCAAATAGGTATGTACTCGGTACGATATCCCGATTTTCAGTACATACCAAAAATTTTAATTATAACTATTTAAATACAAACTAGACTAAGATTAACACAAACCGGGTACATTAATTTAAGGACAATAACACAATACCTACTGATTATAACACAAATCACAATAATCGATTCTATAGCTGAATAAAAACCCAAATACCCAAAATTTCGGAGTCTAAGAAATTAGGGAGGCTGACCACAACCGTGTGGGATAATATAAATTTTAGTTTACGTAAAACCAATATTTTCAGGATCTTCTGGGTGTTATTGATAAAGTTTGCTCGTTTCTGGGGAAGGAATATACCAAGCAACAGAAAGAAGAGTTAAAAGAGCATTTGAAATTTGACAATATGAATAAGATGCCACCTTTTTCAACCCCAAAGGCTCAAGGAAATGACTCTGAGCTTAAATTCATGCGTAAAGGTATGTGTATAATATTTGGGTTTTAAGTTTTAAATACTAGATTGATATTGAATGGTGAATCATCAAAAAATGAAAAATATCGTTTAGGTAAATCCGGCAATTGGGTACAATATTTCGATGTCGAGATGAAGAAGGAAGCGGAAGAATATATGAACAAATATCTGGATTGCACTAAATTACAATTTCCGGAAATAAGAATTGGCTCTTAGTTTTCATTATTTTTGTTAAAATACTGTTACTTGTATTTTGTAAACAATTAAATTAAAAAATAATATGGAACAGTAGAAGTCAAAGTTTTTAAATTGTATCGTAAAGTTCGTTTATGACTATCGTGTCACCAACATCATCATTTCAACCTGTTGGAGTCCACTTCTGAACTCAGGACTCCCTAACACACTGCCACGAAGCACGATCCTGAGGTACCTGTATCATCAACTTCCCGCACACTTGCGCAGAACTTCACTCCATCTAGCGGGGGTCGTCCTCCACTGTGATAGCCAGTACGAGGCTGCCATTTATGAACTGTAAAGTAAAATGAGACTTGGAGAAAAACGGAAGATGAAAACGGGAACGGGAGCTCTTAAATGAGAACCTTGTATTTCTCTATCACGAGCTCTATCTCTGGCTGTGATAGCTCAGTGTCCATGTGCTTGCTTTTAATTAGTGTACTTTAGCAACCTGACTTCCAATTCATGTGTTGTCATCAATGAAATTGTAGGTTGCAATTTTAAGAGTTGACTTATTACGTACTTAGCGCTGAAGGAAAACGTTGTGAGAAAACCTGCATATTTTTGAAATAATAACCAATAATAAGAAAATATTTCTAAGATATGTGAGGTCTGCCATTTCGCAGCAGGGTCGCGTGGTCGACTTATGCCGTGGGATCCTAAATGGAGGAGGCCTTTGAGATATACAGGCTGATACTATACCTGATACCATTAATTAAACTAACGTTGTTTCATAATAATATCCCTAAAATTAAAAGTTTTCTTCCATAAACTTACAACATTATGAGGTTTTTCAAAAAAGTTAGTTTATTAGAGGATTTAATTTTATCCCGTTATCAGTTAAATTCATTAGGTATTCCTTTTTTTTTCATGTTCATGGTCGACCAATGAGAATATTGTGTACATTAACCTGATACGTAGTATATATGTGGAATGTGCACAACGTATGCACAAAATACTGACTTGGTTATAAAGGTGTATATTTCATATAATTTGTTCTAGGAAGGCAATAAAAACATAGATCTTAAAAAATTGTCAGATTTGATTTTTTTTATTTTGAATAATGTGATCATAAGTTTCAGCAATAGTAGCTTTTAGTAAACCGCTTAGCTCACTGGCTAGAGAGACTGGTCGTGTAATCTGGAAAGCGGAGGTTTCGGATCCTGGTAGTGGCGAAAAATTCTGGAATAGGTTGCTCTGCACATTTTTAAATTTCATATTAAATAGTGCATCCACTCACAAAAATACAGGCTTTTATGAAGTAAACTCTTTACATTCTTCTTCCCCGGATGAATCTGCTCATTCGTGCAACTAAGACTGTTTAGTAGCCCTAACTCAGTTAAACAATATACATAAATACGATTTTCTTTTGGTTTTATCAAAAACTAGCTGCTACCCGCGACTACATCTGTGTAGAATAGGCTGAAGGCGTAACATTCAGAGAGAAAGACAGATATAAATAAAAATATATATAATGTATATAAATTATAGCCTATGTCTTATTCTGATGTATAAGGTATATTATTGTAAAGTTTCATTAAAATCCATTCAGTAGTATTTGTGTGAAAGAGTAACAAACATCCATCCATACATATAAACTTTCAGCTTTATAATATTAAGTAAGGATTACATTATTTATTTATTTATCCGAATATCCAACGGTTTCTTTTGATCAAAACTAAAGTAGGCACATTTGTGAGCTTAGTCGATTATTAAACATGATGTATAAAACTTATGACGAGTTATTAATTTCTCCCTTGTGAACGATTCTAAATCGCTTGTTGTAAAAACGTCGAGAACAAAGACCTACAATTACAACTTTAACATTTTTGACATGCTCCTGAGGAAAAAAGAGGAGATTATTTTTCGATTACGTCAATGACACGCATTAGCGGAATCGATTTACAATATGACAGGGATTCAGTGATGGATCGTCTTTGTTTTGCTTTACGTGAGCGATAGGAAGAATAGAAGGAGAAAACTTGATATAATAATGGACAAAAATGTTAACTAAATGAACAATATGCATTGAAAATATATACGATACTGCACCGGTTCGTTATAATTGTTGTGAGTCGGAAATATAAGGAAACAATAGAAATGTTGGCAAGTTTGTTTAAATTGTTGTTAGACGTACAAAATGTAATGCCCTTGGTTATTATTTAGGGCAATATACAAAATTGGTCTTACGCGTTTCTATTGCTGCTTGTGAAATTATATCGGATGAAGAATTCTAACTACAGCGAGCGATGCAATGTATGTATAAATGGCAACTATTAAAGTACTCGGTAATTATTTCGATGTTATAGTTTTTATGAGATCATTTTATAAGTACTGGTATATTGTTTATGGTTATTAGTGAACGATTACATGGGTGTTTTTTTATGTTTTTTATCTCAGACCTCCGTCGTTTATAAACCGATTTCGAAAATTGTTTTTTCTTATTGGATCGGATATGCACACATCATTAAATTATAAGCAACATCAACTAAAACTTTCACTTGACGGTGATATTTCGGTTATGAGACAAAATAAGTCTTGTACTTGTATATTAATGTAATGATTAACATATTGGAAAACAATAAAATTTTTGAATCTTTTAATAAAAAAAGCATAAAAATTATAGTTTGAGGCAATAACAACGAAAAAGGACAAGCAATCTAAAAAATGAAGACAAACTAAAATTGGCGGAAGCTGCAGTTGTTGGGTGGTGGTTACACTGTCCAGGACTTTAAAATCAAAATCAAAATCAAAATCAAAAATATATTTATTCAAATAGACGCTTGCGCGCTCTTATGAATCGTCAAATTTTACATCAAAGATTATGTGTATAGGTTCGTAAGGTACCACCGGTTCGGACAGCGGTTTCTGTTGAGAAGAGACCGGCAAGAAACTCAACAGTTGCTCTTTTTCAAAAATATCAGGATACAATATAATATACAGGTATAATAGTCTTATTCTAGCCTACGTGAGTATCAACAATATTAACTCCACACATTGGCGTCGTCGAGATATTCCGAAATGGTATAATATGCTTTAATCATCAGTTGATTTTTAATTTTACATTTAAATTGGTCAAGCGGCAGACTTAATATCGACTGTGGGATTTTATTATACATGCGTACACTTTGCCCCATGAACGACTTATTTACTTTTTGTAGACGAAACAATGGCGTAGTAAGTTTGTCCTTATTTCTAGTGTTTATTTTATGTCTGTCACTATTCTTTAGGTAATAATTAAGGTTATGACGTATATACAAAACATTACAATAAATGTATTGAGAAGCAACAGTGAGTATATTAATCTCTTTGAAAAGATCTCTGAGTGAATTCCGGGCTCCGATATTGTAGATTGCTCGGACAGCTCTTTTTTGAAGAATAAATATAGAATTTATATCTGATGCACTACCCCACAACAAAATGCCGTACGACAAGATGCTGTGAAAATAACTAAAGTAAACAAGTCTGGCAGTGTCGATGTCTGTTAGCTACCTAACCCTTCTAATCGCAAAAACCGCGGAGCTCAGTCTATTCGCAAGAGATGATATATGGGGACTCCACTGGAGCTTTGAATCTACTGTAATTCCCAGAAATACAGCAGAATCAACTGGATTAATGGGTACGTTATTTAATATTAAACTAAAACTTTTCCTTCTTATACTGGGAAGGGTAAAAAGAATACATCTGGTTTTTTTGGCATTTAATACCATATTATTAATAGTAAACCAGTGGAGGATATGTGAAAGTTCACTATTCACGTCGTCATAATTTAATACGTTTCGGTCAACTTTAAAAATAAGCGATGTATCGTCAGCAAACAGTACAACATCACACAACCCACTGGCATAAAAGGGGAGATCATTAATATATACTAAAAATAATAATGGGCCCAAGATTGATCCTTGTGGGACTCCGATTTTCATCTGGGACCCAGTGGAATTAACATCATTTATAGATACTTTTTGAATTCTATTACTAAGGTATGAGGCAATGAGATTGAGGGCGATCCCACGAATGCCATAATATTCTAGCTTTTGAAGGATAGTTTTATGGTCTACGCAGTCGAAGGTCACAAAAGACACCTATTGCATCTTGTGACCTTTCCCAGGCGTTATAAATATGTTTGACAAGTGCGACGCCCGCATCTGTTGTCGATCTGCCTTTAGTGAATCCATATTGCTCATGGTGAAAGATTTTGTTCACATTAAAATGAACTAAAAGTTGATTTAATATTAGCTTTTCAAAAACTTTACTAAGAGATGGCAATATGGAAATAGGTCTATAGTTGCCTGGATCATTTTTAAGGAAGTTAGGATCGGGATTCCACTGCCTCATACTATATAATTCATACAATGAATCCCTACTTTGTATATACCCACTGTTGCCCAGTCACTAAATTTTAATTTTGAATTCTTAACAATTGTGCGCGATTTAAAAGTATCATTATAAGAAGATATGAGAAAGTCAACCATTGATCTATAAGAGTCATTAGGGTTATTGACTCCTATATCTTTATTTAACATATGATGTGCCACTTTATCTCTAAAAGCATTTATTCTATTAGTAGTGACTGGTCTACACTTGATCTTAAGTTTGCTTGTATTAGCTTTTTCATTTATTGAAAATTTTAGCCCAAAGTGATCCGAGCTCAGATGATTTATAACATATTGTTATGAACACACAAAGGAACGAACGCCATCTAGCGTCAACTATTAAAACCACTAAAGAACAAAGACGACATAAAACCCCCTATTCAACACTAGATGGCGTTAGAGGAACTGTTGTGGAACTATAGTCTCGAAAACCGGGTACATTCGCGAACTTTCCGGAATCACGAACATGTTCGTGCGTGTCGGGTACGTTCCAGGAATGACCTTTCTGGATTAGTCCGGAACCGGTCTCGGCCCATATAAAAAGCCGCAGGGAGGCGAGCGATGACAGTTCAGTTTGAGCTACCTTCGAGGCGACTTCGGAGTGAA